CGTGGAAACCCTTCAAGCCACGCCCAGCACAGTAAGAACAATGAAGACCACGCCCCTTTAAAAAGTCACGCCCACCGACCACACCCGGTAAGCCACGCCCACGTTAAGCCCCGCCCCCTGCTCAGCCCGCAGGTTAAGGGGGAGCTGTGAGGCCCCGCCCCGTTAGGCCCCTCCCACTCCGCACAGGCCACGCCCATCTCGCTAAGCCACAGCTACCGGGGCTTGGGTGGGGCCGCGCAAACCCCGCCCATCGGGAGCCCCGCCCATCGGGAGCCCCGCCCCCAGCACGCACAGTGACCCCCCCTCCCCATTTCGGGGGCGGGGTCTGCGGCCATGCCCAAACCACGCCCACCCCCTCAGGCCCCGCCCAGCCCTCAGGCCCCGCCCCTCTCACCATGGCAGCCGGGGGGCTCTAGCGGCGCGCGGGGGGGGGCATCGCGGGGGGCCTGGGGGGGACACGGGTTAGGGGACACGGGGAGGGACAGCGGGGACAGCGGGGAGGGGGCGAGCGGGCCCTGAGGGAGGGGCTGGGCGGGAACAAACGGGGCTGGAGGGGAGGACAAGGATGGGCGCCGGGAGCTCCATGGACTCGGGAGACTCCATGGGCTGAGGAGGGAACGGGGGCGCTCCTGGGGGGCTCCGGGGGGGTCCCGGGAGGGGTCTGGGAGGTCCCACAAGGGCTCGGGGGGTTCGGGGGGTCCCGGGCGGGGTCCGGAGCCGCCTCGCTCACCTGCAGCCCCGCGCGACGCTGGCGCCGGGCGCGCCGTGATGACGTCAAGGGCGGGCGGGCCAGGAGCGAGGCTAAGGGGCGGGGCCATGATGGGGGGTGTGGTTTAGCCGCGTCTGGGGCGTGGCACCGCGAGCCGTGGGGCGCGGCTTAACGGGGCGGGGCCCAATGAGGGGCGTGGTCACCGAGGGGCGTGGCCTGGCAGCTGCCAAATCGCCGCCGCTCTGCGGGCCGCCATGTTGGCGGTGCTCGTGGGGGCCGCCATGTTGGCTCTGCCCCATGGAGGCCGCCATCTTGGGACCAACTATACGTTGTCCACGGCGGGGGAGCGCCTTTTAACGAGGATTTTTGTGCTTTCCCCCCAAAACACCGCCCGCACCCCGCAGGAGGAGCACGACCCCCCACTCACCCACCCCCCTCATCCCGGCGCACCCCAAAGAACGAGGCCTGAGCCGGGCTCCGTTTTGGTACCAAACTGTATTGGGATTCCCCCCGTTAGAGCTGTGGGCTGAGCCCGGGGGGCGCCGCGCTGGGGACGGGGGGGGCCGCGTAGTCGCCGCTGGGGCCCCCCAGGAAGGGCCCGGCGGGGGCGAAGGGCAGGAGGTGCCCGGACAGGACGAGGGGCCCGAGGGCGAAGAGCGAGGCCGGGTCCTCGGGGGGCGGCTGGGGGGGCGCGGGGGGGGGCAGGGGAGGCCCCACCGAGGTTTCGGGGACCCCCCCCGGGCCGGGGCCCCCCCCTTGGCGCCGTTTCTTGCCCTTGGCCGAGACCTTGCGGTTGCGGGTCTGGATTCCGTCCTTGCGCATGGTCAGCGGCCGGTTCACCTGGGGGG